CATCGGATCGCGCTTACCTCTGTAAATATTGTAAATAGTCAAGTTTCGCGTCAAGGAATAAACAATGTTCGGTGCACAAGTGCGCTCAATTTATTAACAGACACACATTTCCACGCTCATTCCTATCTCGCGGCATTTATCCAATCATCGCGTACACGTCTACTAAACATCTGGTCCTTCGAGCCGGATACTTGGTCCGGTGCTCGTATACGCGTAGCCGCGATATTTCGTCGCGAGTGTCGTGGCCCCTGAAGAGATCTCGTCCATGAGTACTTCGATCATGAGCATGGATGCTGATGGCCTGTTGAGAGCGCAAACCGAGCTCCAGGGACGCATTGCTCGCGCTTGCGAGAACCTGAAAAAGCAAGGCTCAGCCAAAATAACTGTGGGCGCACTGGAGTCAAGACTTCAGTCCTTAGAAGCAAACTGGAAGAAGTTCGAGGAGAACCATGAGGTGCTACGTACCACACATTGGGAAACCGTGAGTAAACACGACTACTTCGAGCAAAACTTCTACGATCTAGCAGAGGAGAAGTACCTGCAACAAAGCGGCGCCTTCCGTGACGCCTTGATTAGCCTGCGCAAACCTGGAGAGGGTACAGGTAGCTCCCTGCCGACGATGGTGGTGGGAGAGCACAAGGGAAGCCGCACGCTTCCACGTATCAATCTACCACAATTCTCTGGAGTGTACGACGAGTGGCCTTCCTTCCGCAATCTCTTCAAATCCCTAGTAGATAGGGACGCTACGCTCACGAACATTGAGAAACTGCACTACTTAAAAACGAGTGTTCGCGGTGACGCGGAGCATGTCATCCGGAACTTGCTCATCACAAGTGAGAATTACGAACGCGCATGGGCCGCACTTGCGGCCCGATATGAAAATAAGCGTCTTCTCACGCAAACTTGCCTGTCCACTGTGACCTCACTCCCGCGCATGAAGACAGAGTCGGCACAGGAACTCAGACGCGTGTTCAACACCATGGTGGACACATACGATGCACTCGAGAGTATAGGTCGCCCACTCACGAA